ATAGCTGCGCTTCCATGTGCGTTGAATACAAGACTGACTACGTGTACTGTATCCGGTATCCCAACCTTCCCTCCAACATATTTCGCTGTTGTAGGTACAGAAGGAAGCCGCAGTCGTCTTGGTTTCTTGCCGTTTCAGGTGGCCAGGAAATCCTCATTCTCTTCACTTTAGAATGACATCGACAGATCCCAGTGTTACTTCATCGAACGATGAAGGCAAAAATTCTGAGCTTTCTAATGAAGCTAAAGATTCCCAAAGCCGACAGGACATTGAGAACAAAATTTTTGCAGCGTTTGGTGCCGATGAAAATGAAGCTGACGATTCTGGAAATCCTTCATCCAGAATGGAAGAAACAACAGTCGGCGAAAGGGATGGTGAAAACAAGCTAGCTTCCACGGAGACGACTGTGGAAAGAAAGGAAGAAGGCACGGCACCCAGACGGAAAGTGAAGAAGAAACGGACTGTCATGAAAACAGAAGACGAAGACAGTATCCGCAGTGAAGCTGACGAACACGATATGAATGAGCATGTAACTAGTGAGAAGCAAGAAAAGAGTCGTAGAAGGCGCCGCCCTCGTTCAGAATCCTATCCGGACGAGGAGGGGTCTGAGGATGGTTCCGAATCAGAGTCTGACTATTCTGGAGATTCGTTCGACGGTTCTGATGAAGAGGAATACGATGATGAAGAATACCTTAAGAAAAAGGCAAAAGCACAACAAATAAAGGAGAAAAAACTTCTGACCAACACTCCTGGCCTAAAGGAAATTGAGCTTGGAGAAAACTCGTTGATCAGATACTCGCCAACTGACCTTGCCAAAGCGATTCGTCGAAATACACACATTCAGAAGTTGGTTCTGAATGAGAAAAATTGCGACCCTGTGAGTTTTGAGATCTTGATCGAAGGACTGGACAAAAATGAATCGATCGTTCAGCTTGAATTCCGTAGGGCTGAGATTACCAAAGATATTGCAGTCGAACTCTACACAGCTTTGATGAAGAACACAAAAGTCAAAAAGTTTTGCATGAAGCGATGCACATTTGCGGAATCTGGGCTTGCGGTGCTCTTCATTGGTCTCCAACACTGCCGATCAGTCAAACATATTGCTATTGAATCATGCAATCTTAGTGACCACTCTTCAAACATTGTTGCCTCTGCCATTCCACTGATGCAGCTACAATCCGTGCGCCTTCAAAACACGCATATGACGGACAAGGGCATGCGATTTTTCTTGGGTAATCTAGCGAAAGCGACGACGTTAGAAAGCATCAATGTTTCGGAAGAGAAAATCTCGGAAAAGGCTATGGCAAAGCTTATGTTTGGAATCCAGAGATGCACAAACCTCGTCCGGCTTGTTCTTTTTGATTGTGGACTTGATGAAATGTCAATCGAACTGCTGGCTGAAGCCATTGAGGGCAACGAGAAACTTCAATCAATTAACCTCAGCAAGAACAAATTTGGAAATGAAGGAGCCGATATCTTGATTGATCTCTTAAAATCCAATAATGCAATCAAGAATCTGAAGTGCGATGGATGCCGCATCAGTAGACACGAGAAGAGACTATTGAAGGATGCTCTTCGTTACAACAGCACTTTCCTCAAATCTCTCTTTTCACCAGAAGTCACATTATCAATTCTCGACTCCGTCGGATTGTTCGAACAAAATCCAACTCAAAAGTCGTAAAGTTTTCTCGTAATATAATTTGAATTTTATGCCTTTATATCAAGGGTCGTCCGTCCTTGGTACTATCGTACCAGTGCGGCAGGCAGTACTGGTACACCTGGTATCCGGTTCGTGGGTACCGGGTGCACGTACACTACCGGTACCTGGTACGGTGGTATAGAAATCGCAGGAATCAATCTGAAATCGTGAGGACATACAAATAAACACGCTGGCAAAGTCAAGTAATAATAGCCATGGCATATGAGGAATCAACTTGTTTCTTTGCTATCTCTATGCGTTATAGCTTCGAGTTTCGTTATATGGTTTACGTCGCCGGAAAACAAGAGGATTGTTGTCGAAAAGGAGGAAACAATTTCAAAGACCGACAAAAAATCATTGACAATTGTGGCATCAGACACCCGCGCTTATGTAAATGGACGCAATCAATCGGTTTGCAAAGCAATGATGGGAGCAAAGGGAGATGGTGTGGAGATAGTTTACTATCTTCAGAATTGTTGCAGCGACCTCAATATTGGAAACAAGCTGTCACGATTGTACCATGCAAATATCATGGCAATGGCAATAGGAGCTGATTTCCTGTATGTCTGCCCCACGCATAAAGACACTGGAAACAGGGGTAGTATCATGAGTAGACTGGCACAAGAGCGCATAGACTCTGAATCCGATGCGAGACATGTGGTATCCAAGACAAAATCAGTTGCAGAAATCTGTGATGTCTGTGACTCCAATCACCCGCATCAATGTGCAACAGGGGAAATTGGACTGGTTGTCCCGATCGTTATTGATGATCTACAAGGGACTGTAAGACATGCCTCAGACTATGATGAGGGTTCGTTTGACGTAGCACTGCATTACAGATGTGGAGATATTCTTGGACTTCATACAGAAAAGTATGGCATCTTACCACACTCTACCTTTGTGCGTCTGATTCAAGCGAAGCATGATCGGGAAGACAACATAAGCATTGTGGTATTATCCAACGTACTCAACGGCAATAAAGCTGGCAAGAATGCCAGATCTCGAGACGTCTTGTTTGCAGCGACGTGCCAAATTCTTGTCGACGATCTTGTTGAGTACTTGAGTCAGTCCTTTCCCAACGCAAGAATATCGATTCCAACCAATGGATCCATCGCGGTCGACTACTTTCGCCTCATTAGAGCAACATCAATGGCAATTTGTGGCCCCTCTACTTTTTGTCTCTGGCCAACTCTGGCCAACCCAAACGCGAAAATATTGAACTCACGCTTGTTTCCTTGGATCAAGCAGCTGGATGGTTCAAATTCTACAGTATTTGATTCAGTGATGCTGAAACCAAGGAAGAACCAAACCATTCTGGACATGGGTGTTGCTTCAATTCTAGCTTGGTTGCGAACAAGCTAGGCCAAGAGATTATCACACGTTTCAAAATTGATCGAAGAATCTACCAGTATTCTTGATCGAAGTGGTATCTTTCTTCGCGCGAATGAATGCGCGATCTTTGAATTGCTTGTTCCATCAACCACTCAAAATGAAAGATGTGAACACGAGAGTTGCCGTCATTTACAATTTACAAGTACAGTATTTTCTCCCCATCATCACCAATCAAACACTTTTTGAGATTCTATGGGGCGCAGACGAAAGAGGTCAAACAGCGATAATGATGAGTCGCTTGAACAAAGTTACAATCAATCTCAGCCCAATCGCCGCCTTTCCGTGACAGAGAACGACGAGAGTTCAATAGGGGAAAGCGATTCCGCGAAGAAAGCAAAGACGTCTTTGGAAAAGACTCTAGTCGAACCATCCAACAGCAGAGCAAAAGAGTCATCAGAAAGCGTGACCAAAACTGACATATCCGAAAAAGAGAAACAGAGAATAGAAAGACTTCAGAAGAAAAAGAAGCACCGAAAAGAGCAAAAAAAAGCCAAGGCGCTCACAAAACAGGAAACGACAGTAACACAGTCAAATACGGTCAATTCAGCAAAGGAAAGGAAACCGAAAGATTCCGTCGACAAGAAGGACAATTCGAACACAGAATTTAAGACCATGGCTAAAGGAGTGCAATACAGAGACGTGGTCATTGGTAAGGGCCCTTCCGTGCAAGAGAGGAAGAAAATTCGAGTGACGTACATACTCAGAGCTATACACCGCTATGGCAAGATTCTGGATTCGTCCAATGACTTCAAATTTCGAATAGGTCGAGGCGAAGTTGTGAAGGGTTGGGATATTGGCATTATGGGTATGCGACAAGGCGGGAAGCGGTATCTCATCGTTCCTCCAAATGCTGGGTACGGAGGACGTGATGTTGGTGCTGGAAGAGGTGGACTATTATTCTTTGAAGTGACAGTATTGGATTGTTGATTGATACGAGTGAATAGGTGAGCATTTTCCTTTGTTATTCCGATCGACTTGAGACACGGCAGCTCTAGAGAACGAATCAATCATCATCACGTTAGGACGACAAATTCACCACATCACTTCTGAGGGAGCTTCAATCACTCCACAAAAGAGGATAACCTTATTCTGAACCATGATAATGTTTTTGCGAATTGGACATTGCACGAGACACCATCGACCACTGATTCTTACACTTCCTTCTGCATTCCTTTCAGATATCTCACGGATCATGCTGGTGCTACCCAAAGTTTTTGCAATGATGATCTCGCGAGGACACTACTAAGGTGTGTGTTACACAGTCAGTTGGCTCATGTCAACAATAGAAACATCGGATGTTTCTCCTCGAACCGAACGTTTTTTCTGTATTCTAGTCATTTCGACTTCTAGTGTTAAATGTTGTCTATCACTATTTAACGCCTACTATCAACCCTTACTTCTGAAAAACCATTCGTGATTGGCCGTCGTGCAGCGTTTTGATAGTTTCTCTACCGGTATGTTTTTGAAATTCTTGTGTACCAGTAAAAGTACTGTTTGGTGCGTAGAACTTGCGTCGAATGAATACTTCTTGAACTCCCTCTCTCTGGTCAATACTGTATTGCCAAGCAAAAAAATCTGCGCTGTAAAGAAATTTGTGGCACCAGCACTTGCAGTTCTTGATTGCCATCCAGCCCGATTCAGAGCAGGGAAATTTACCCTGACATGGATCCAACACCCAATGCGACCGCTTATGAGGAAATGGGTGGAGAATTGTCGGAAGGCAGCGGCATTGCAGCACAACCAAGGAAACAATCCCATGCACAGAAAGTTGCGAATTCACTTCACGGTGTTGTAGTTCCAAAGGTGAGCCAACCAATGCCTTCAGTACCTGTTGAAATCAGCGCTCATTCGTGAATGCTTGTCGTTCCGCTTTTGTTCTTTTGTTCTTGATTCTTCTATGATATAGGCGGAACCTATCAAATGGTATCACTTTCTGGCGCTGTCATTATATATTGCAATTCCGTAGGTTCATTTCTTGGTGATTGCGATTGTGCAATAGGAGACTATGATATTCTCATCCAATCGCATTGAATTTCCATTCTTACTAAATCCTCAGGGTTATCGCATACGTAATGGTATTTACGACCATGGGATTCGGAGGTGATTTGTTTTTTTACGTTGCTGACAAATATGGAGAATATTCAATGATGGCCATTGCTGCAACCGTTGGAGTCACATTTGTAGCATACATGCTAGATTTCACTGACTGGAGATCGAATACTGGGGTTGTTTTACAGAAGATGGTATGGGCATTCATCGTGGTGGGTGTCATTGCCTTTACACTGCTCATGGTGAACGAATACCCATACGGCCCCATCGCTGTATTTGCATTCATCACGCCCATGTATCTTGTGGCAATCAAAGGAATCTGTTATAGTGATCTGGAGACAAAAACTTTCATCTCATGGCTTTCTGGACCACTATTCTTTGTGGCGCTGGTGAATGGAATCATTTGGATCATTTGGACATTCCGAGAGGACAAAAATGAGTATAACGAATATTTCCGAGTGAACAACGCAGAAGAAGCTGGCTGTCCAGCTCCAGACTTCAACGAATACCCCAACTGTGACAGTCTTGCTAATCCTGGAACACTCTGCGTCACGGTGTTCAACAATGAATTTGTGTTCGAGAAATCCGCCGACGATGGGACCTATTGCCCTGTCTCTTGTACGGAAATTTACGACGACTGCTTGAACATTTTTATTTTGTGGGTTGGCCCACCCATGTTCTCCATGGTCCTCATCTTCTTAAGTTTCTTTGCCACCTTCTTACGAGCGGGAAATGGAGAAAAGGATATGTTGAATTTTGGAAAAGTATGGATGTTTTTACTGTTTGCCACTTGGCTTACTGCTTCATTGGCTGGGATTGCTGCTGGTGTTGCTTCTGCTCTCATGGCATTAACACTGGCATCATTCATCGGTTCTGCCGTCTTTATTGCGTCTTCTGTGTCTTACGACGAAGGAAAAACACAAGCCAAAGGTTTCTGGGAAAAAATCAAGGAAAAGTATGGTGAAAACATGATGAATGTGCTCCGAGGCTTGGGAATTATCACTTTGACGCCGGCATTCTTGATTTTTCTAGTCCTGTCTATGCTCAATCAGTGTGTACGTCGTTGTGGTTTGCCATGTTCCAAGAAAATGAAGACAGACAAAGAAAGAAGCGACTTTATTACAAAGCGAGCACGTCGTGCAATCGATACTTACTTGACATGGGATCGAAGCACTGTTTTCACTTATGCTGTTTACTGGGGGGCTGCTTTCATGATTTTACAGGTCATTGTTTCCCAATTCACTGTGCTGTTTCTATCCTGGCTTATCGAAGCGACAGCTCCTTTAGGGCTTGGTCCCGTCACTGGAATCATGGTTGGCGTCGGACTTGTCATGTTCTTGTTACCACCTGTTCCTGGGGTACCTATCTACCTCACTTTGGGAATTGTCGTTTTGGCAACAGGACGCGACACTCTCGGCGTCGTTGGATGCGTCGGGTATGGTTGTGGTGTGTCGATAGTCTTGAAACTTCTAGCATGTACAATGCAGCAAAAGCTAATTGGCGAACAGCTTTCAAATTATGTTGCTGTGCGACAACTTGTGGGCATCAACTCGGTATGTACTGTTGTGAAAGATGAAGTTGTGTGTTTTTTATGATTCTCATCGCATTCACTTGTCGTTCAGTCGGTCATTCGTGCAATGAAACTGATTCTGCAAGAGCCTGGTTTCAGTGTCCCAAAAGTTGCGATCTTGATCGGAGGACCCGATTGGCCCACTTCGGTTTTGTGTGGTCTCATGCGTCTTCAGTTGTTGCCCATTCTTATTGGAACTATTCCTGTGATTTTTTTGATTGTTCCCACTCTTCTCACGGGTACGTTCACGTACATGTCATCGTTAACACTAGATGACGGAACTCCAGAGTTCGCATACGCAGGAGTTCTTGCAACGGTATTTGCCGCAATAACAGCGATTGTTCAGTTTGGATCGATGGTCGTAGCAGCATATTATCTCGAGCAAACAGCCAGTGCACGAGAGGAAGAACTCGCACAAATACCCATCGATCAAGAGGTCAAAGAAAGAGAACAAAAAGACGATGAATTGAGAAGGTGTTACAAGGAAGTGACGAAATGGGAGATCGTTCCCTTCATCCCGAAGATGATTCTTCGTCTTGCCGTTGTAACCATGATAGGCTCTTGCTACATGGTGCAACTATTTGCGAGCAGTAGTTTTGCGGAGTATGAACTGACGTATACAATAGACAACAATCTGGATGGAGATTGGACTAATCTACTCCTTCCATTGGGGCGAATTGCATCTCTCCTCTTCGTGATTTCATCTGTCCTAGTATACGGTTACGTAAAGTGGGCAGGACATGAAGCTAGAAAAATGATGGCGTACCAAGACGCTGAGGCACCAAGTCAGACGAACACACAAAGTGGAGGCAACAGACTTCCAGAAGCGCAAGAATGACTAGATAGGTCCATGCTCCACAATGGCAGTTTCGATGGTGGTATACTTAGTTGAGTGAAAGTTGTTTTGTGAAATAGAAGGATATGCTTGATAAGTGTTAAAAATACATAATCTCAGATTTTGAACGTATAGCTCAAAATTTTCGTCTAACTCCTGGTTTTGCTTGTGGCATAGTCAATCCAGACGACTCTTTCAGTTTTTGATGATATCGATCAACAACTGACCGGAGCTTTTTGTTGAACATAGGCATGCATGTTTGTGACGGTGGTGGTGGATGAACGAAGTTTGGATTGACTTCTCGTTTTGATGAAAGGTGCTGTACCTTGATGGTTTCATTGCTTCTTTCAATCGGTTCACGATCTACCGATTCTTCACCCCACTGATCTCTGCCATGTCTAGCAGTATTAGGAAACACACTGTTTCGAAATTGAGACCCCGAACAAGTAACTGGTGATAAACCATCAATACTTCCGTGCTCTTGTTTGCCGTATCCTTTAAAATTTTCTGGGGAGATCGGTCGTCCAATGATAACAGAATCGGAATATGCTGGAATAAAAGGATTCGCCTCGTAGAATTGATGCCTTTTGCCTTTGTCGCATCGTATATCTCGCTCTGGTGATATTTCAAAGTGATGTTTGTGACTGCCAGCTATTGTTGGTGATGGTGTAATTGGTCGAATGCTTGCACCCGGAGTATATGACAGCTCAGAGATCACTGCTGGGCTGGTCAATTCGATGTGACTCGAGCCGTAAAATGTGGGATCTTTCAAGTACTTAGCCTGTTCTGCTGCCATTGCCCTCTTTTCGTGCCAAGACATTCTTCGTGGCGAAGATTCCGATACAGCAGTGGGAACAAGACTCAGCTGTGAGTCCAAAACACCATCCTCGTTGCTCCTGCGAAAGTTTGCCGCGATTCTTCGCTGGAGTCTGCTTGGGGATGGATGTCGTCGAATATGCTCATGTGCAGTTGCCATATCAGGTAAATCTCCTGAAGAAACATTTGGTGGAGAAGATTTTGCGCCACCTTGTCCGTTTTGATATGCTGATGGCGACGATGACGATTCCAAGCTGAAAAGTGGAGCAGAAGAGCTCTGAGAGGCCGAAGCAATCCCTTTTCGCATAGCGCCTCTCTCATTCACTGTCCTCTCATGTCGGTCGAAGGATGCGAATCGATGCTGTCGACCTTCTTCAGTGATCGGATCTTTCTCCAAGATGACATCATCATCTCTTGGGGATCCGCTGTTTGACAGTGGAGGTGATTGTGCAGCCGAGACGAAAATAGGATCAAGAGAGTGCTGAGATTCAATGACAGTAATTTTGCTCATGAGTTCGTTTTCTCTGATAGATTCCGAAACACTTTCGAATGATGCCTCCTTTTGAAGTCCCTCATTTGTCGATATTGTTGCTGCTCTCGCTGACAATGTAGCAGTATCTTCTAGCGACGCCTTAAGAGGAGCTGTAGATCCAAGGGAATGATGTGGGGCTTTGTCCACAAATACACTCCCTCTAAACGATTTCCAGCGACTATCAAAAGAGGCTGATCTGCGAAGTGGCTCTTTTGAGTAGCTTGGTGTTGTTTCTGAAAGACCAAGACTGGCTCTCCATGGCTTCATTGAAGACGCCAGCAGGGTCCTGTTTTTCTCAGGAACGATCGTTGGAGATGATAGATTAGAAACAGAGAATGGATCGCCGGAATGCTGAGAGTCGAAAACGTCATCTTTGTTTGTATGCACAATACTCTCGACTGACAACGGCTGCGTGAAAACAGTGCAAGTTTCTTGTTTCTCATTCCGAGGAAGTTTCATGCTTGCTTTTCTCATCGCGTTTTCCCTTTCATGCTTATCGGAAATTGCTTTTAAGCGCAAAAATTCCTGATTGATGACATAAGCCTGTAGCTGTCCGTCTTCTCCGCCTGTGCCAAAATGAGCTTGAGATTGACGTGTTTCAGAAATACCTCTGCGATCCTCATCTTCTTGCACATCAAGGATTGCGTTGTAATGTGCATCATGACGCTGGTGGTACAGATTTTCCCGATGATCTGCTTCCCACTCATATTGATGGAAATGTTCAATTTCGTCTCGAAATTCTCTTTCGTGAATCTTTTTCGCCCTATTCCAATTCTGGTAGGAGAGTTCACCAAAGCCTTCCACTTCTGACATTCTTATTTGGGGATTGCGGTGGGAATGAGATCGAGGTGGCATATCTGGTATTTTTCTCATTTTTGGCCTTTGGGCGTTGCTTTTGATTTCTTCTTCTTCTTCCACAATCTCATTCACCAGAGCATTTCTGTAGTCTTTTGCAGCGTTGTCCCAGTATCTATTAGAATGAGGGTTTTGGATGTTCTTGCGATACGATTCTTTCAATGGAAACACAGTAGCGTTGCTTTCTGTCGCAGCATCATCATTCGCCTCGCGAAGAGATGATTTCGGAACGATACAGCTTAAAGTCTCTAATCTATGTGCCATCACCTTCCTTGCTTCCATTGGAAAACTAGAAGCTAGTACCATGCCTTTTGGATCTCCAGCAGTCATCTTGAGTCAAGAGTACCGGTACGGTAGTATTATTGATTCCACAACCCAAACCTCATCGTTCGAAGTTCTGAAAATACCGTTGTTTCGAATGCCGACGCGCGCGCCAAACAACGTTCGAAAAATCGTCTATTTATGTGTAAGTGTACCTGGTACACGTACACCAGGTACGTATACTGTACCAGCCGTCAATGTTTCACTCTCTGGCGGTGTTGATAGTATGGTAATCGCGTCTGTGCTCTCCCACCTCCCACATGAAAAAGTCATGCAAATAGCTTGAATGTCGTTGCAGGTACGTTCTGAACAGCAAGCTCTTGGAGGATTGTGTCATCGGATCTCATTCTCCCTTGATACTTCTAGTTCATATTGACTACGGAAATAGATCCGAAGCTTCTGCGGAGGCTGACTTTGTTAGACGGTATTGTGAATCGCTAGACATTGAATTCATATGTCGAACAATCCAGGAGGTAACAAGAGGTGTAACATCCCGCGACGAGTACGAACGCATTTCGAGAGATATCAGGTATGCGACTTACAGGGAAACGGTTGCAAAGGCAAGATCGAACTTGCACCAAGAGGACATTATTATTGGAGTCATGCTGGGACATCATCGTGGTGATTTACGGGAGAATGTTCTGTCAAACGCGCACAAGGGGTCGGGGCCTTGGATCTTGTGAGTAGTGTGGACTTTGTGTCCCTAGATGCAATTTGTGATTATTACAACTGACACCACCATTGATGCTGCACTAGTCTGGAATGACAGCTGTGTCCCAAAATGATGGTGTGACACTGTTGCGACCCCTGTTGTCACTGGAGAAGAGTTTTGTTTTTGATTATGCACATACATTTGGTGTTCCATACTTCAAAGGTGTGTATGGCCTGAAGCCATGGTACCCCTCAAGTCAACCTAGCCAGCGCATACTGATTCCTCCTGTCACCCTACCCAACAGATACGACACCACATTGGTCAACAAGAGGAAAGCTACGAAACAAATTGATTCCACTTCTTCAGGAAATATATGGGGACGGCAGCATGACGAACCATAGCAATTTGGGTACTGAAAGCGATGAATGTCGTGCCCTCTTGCATGGATCCATAATGGCTCCTTTTTTGAAGAGTGTCACTCACAAACCAATGGGTATTATGTTTGACACAGCTCCATGGAAGGACCAAGGCTTCTTCTTTTGGAAGTTTGTATTGAGAGAAGCACTGCATAGTGCAAAAATTGGAATGTTCTCAGACAAGAGCGTCGTTTCTTTTCTCAAACGCGTCAAAGCAAATGTCGTCAAAGAAGGATGGCTTCAGTGTCGGAAAGACTACGGAGTCTATCTGCAACGGGACGGAAAAGTCTTTGCCTTTCGTTCCTCAAGCTTCCCCTGGAACAAGAAGGCCATGTTCAATGTTTATGGACAAGGTAAGGCAAGAAACAGTCTTTCGGAGCTCTCTACAGGAAAGTACCTAAGCATGAGCAATTTGAAATTCCAGTCGTGGAATTTGACACAGACAAAAAGGTTGGACCTTGGATCGTTTGAACTGAAATCGTTAGTGACAAAGGTGATTGCCCAGAGAAATTTCGACTGGCCCAAAAAGCTGTGGCATCAATGGAAACATTCATGGAAGGAAATATTGAGTACTACATCGAGTCCCCCACTTGGTACGTAAATGGCATCTTTCAGCCAGTTTTCTGTGTTTTCAAGAAGGCAGATCGTCCCATGGCGTGGAAGAATTTAGACCTAAAAGTCCAGTCACCTATTCCTCTGGTTGGGAATGATTTAACCGCCATCGGAGCACTCCAGAGTCCACAAACTGTTGACGGGGAGCAGAATCCAACGCGACTCGTACGAGTCGTCATTAGATTAAAGAGCCAAGTCATCGGATGCCTATGTTGTCTGCCGACTACTCATGAAATTTCGAATTGTCAGACTCGACGGGAGAGGACATTATAGCCTTGTTTCAAGGACTGTGAAGGATAACTCTCACTTGAAGCAAAAGATGTTGTATTAAAAGGTTTGGACATTGTCTAGTTGTTCCTATGAAAAACTTCATAAGACATGGATACTGTAGATACAGCACCGGTTCGTACCATATGGTACCATTACCAAAACATATCACATTGAGAAAAGATATGCACAGAAGAAAGGACGCGATAGTAGAAAAAATGTATCTTTGTTTGGCTAATGGGAAAATACAGCAAAGCCGGCTCAGTATGTGCTGGGTGTGAATTGGGTAACGGCTGTTGTCTGCCATTTTGTGTGGAAGTGGACAGAAACTGCTGGAGACTCTTCCACCAGATGCCACTGGACCAGCGGGAACGTGTCGTGGAGATATATGAAACGGGTCAAGCATCATTTCTGGGCAGACTAGGGCCTCTTGCCACGAAAAAGCGACGAAAATCAACTAATGCCTGTCTCGGCTTACAAATAAAAATCTTGACAGAAATGGCGCTACACTAATTCTGATTTTTTCATCAGATTTGGAGTGGTTTAATTGATGGATTCGTAGATTAGCAGCTTATCGCATTGACATCTTCGTGGTCTCGTGAATACGTTTGTAACTACATCAATACATGTTTTTATATGGTATTCACACCAGTTTCAAAAGTCGTGGAATTTCACACCGACTTAGAATCAATCCAAGCAAATCTGTCATTGCAGCGAATCACTTTCTTGTTCGATACCAGATGAGCAAGCTGGATGTGATCCCCCCTTTGCAGCATACTCGATACAGACCATAGCCAAAAAGTCGTCCGTCTCATAGTTGAAAAGGTTCCCGTTAATATAAACCCAAGGGACGTACTGATGGTCCGGCGTCTTATCACTGTTCTCTTTCTCTAGCATCCATCTTAGCACAGGATTTCCGTGACATCTCTTTAAACCTTCAAACTCAATACCAGACTGTGTCGCGCAATTGGCGAAGACTTGTTCCTCAAAGGGCTCGTCCTTGTATCCCATTGGCAAAGTGTTTTCCAAGCACTCGAAAAACTTGAGGTACGTAGGCGCATTGGTTTGACGCACAGCGCATTGTTGCCAAGTATTTGCGTCACATTCAGCAGGACCGTGTTGACACTTTACCGATTTATTTTCCATGTCAAGTTGAGCGTTTCCAAAGGGGACAATCTGGAGGTCAACGACTCCAGCTCCGAGCTGACTGTACACCGGTATAAGGCTGTTGATGAAGAAGTGCTTGCAATCGATACATAATGACTCGGTAAAGGCTTGCACAATAACGGGAGGGGGGCTATCTACGAGGATACCAAGGGGTGTTGACAGCAACATTCTCTTGGATTTCTGTGGATGAAGATGTTGATGATACAAGCATGTCCTGCGCGCGAAAAAAAATCGAAATGAGAAAATAAGGCGAATTTTGATATCAGTCAGTCCGTGTCCCGCATCAGCACATCAGCATCAGCACATCACGAAGAATCTGATCTATTTTACCATGCCATCCATCAAATGATGAAGAGGATTACACACAACACAATCCTTTTCTTCCAGAATTGGATCATCTTGTCGACAGGACTTTCATTGGGACAATCCATTCAGAGCGTTTCATCGTTACAAGAAGGGATCCAAGTAGCTGGAGAATTGTGGTTGCCTTCTGACCAAGAACTTCCTCCACATTACAGTCAACCAATACACCATGAATCACGTCAGCGGTGGGCAAGCCAATTGCTTGATAAAATGTTCCAAATCAGTACCGAGGAAACTTTGGAGGCTCTCGATTTTCGAAATGAGCAATGGAACCGCCTTGTTAATGCAGCTGCGATACCACATGAAACAGCAATAGATCGACCAAAAAAGGAAGGGGTTTGGCTGTGTACTTCCCTACAGAGCATACATGGGATTGTTTCCAGAAAGCAAGGCATATCCCAAGACGACAATATTCCATCACATGAACTACAATCGGACACTTTACTGGCTATTCGAAGATTGATCGAAAGGGCATATCAGCTAGCAGAAAAGTTCTCCTTGGATCAAGCATGCCAACTTCATTGGAGTGTGGAGGGCTTATACGCAAGAATACCTGAAATTGAGCGACTACCCCAAAGCGACAGTCTGCTAGATCGCTTGGACAAATTACCGTTTGAAATCGTACCTCGTGGACTTGACTGGAGCAATGTGTGTGATCCTGGCCAAGTCTGTGAAGTGCTGGTTGAGTCTATCCCATTTTCAAAAGAAACAATCATCACACGAAAAGGAGTGTCTGTCCAAGAACGACGTGGTACTGCCTGGATTGCTGACCCTCAAATCGGGTCATTGGCGTATTCAGGTAAACTCATGGTACCCAAACCGATTCCCGATCTGGTTTTACGAGTAATGAGGTCAGTCGAGGATCGCCTTGATTTGGGAGGAGATGGTAACTTCTTTGACTGTGCTCTATGCAACCACTATGCTGATGCCACAGCAGCCTGTAAATTCCACACCGACCCAGAACATGGGACTTTCTGGCATAGAACGACGGTGGTTGTTGCGGCTGGCACGGACCGCAAATTTGCCTTCAAGCCTATCGAAACATTTTGGTCGGACTGGGACCCATGCATGGTGGATGACAGCCAGCAGTCGATGGCAGCCAGTATCAATCTATTTTCAGGTGATTTAGTGGTGATGAAAGACAATTGTAATGACGATTTTTACCACGCCGTTCATGTTGGGGGTAGCGACGACGATCGAGTCAGTTTGGTTTTGAAACGAGCCTTGGATCGGAATGGAAAAAAAGGCCATGGTCAACAGGGGCAAGGGAGGAAATCAAGACGGAAGATTCATTCTGTAAGATCGCTTTAGTCGATTTGAAATTTCTAACGGGTTTTGGAGGGAACGCCAGCCACGCCTCATCACCCAAGAAATCGAGCCGCCGCCAATTTTGTCGTTACTGTGCTGTAGTCCATCTCATTAAAGTTGCTTCTATAATTCTTCCATTGACACTCCTGGAATCTCTGCAGCTCCTTCGTGTGTACTATAGTTCCTGGCCCCAGTAGATTCAACATGCCTCACGAAGATCGTAAAAAGGCTGGCCTGGATGCCTTCCTCGCCAATGATGGCCCAAGATCAGTTTTGATCGATGCGGATGCTCCTGCGGTACATACTGTATCGACGGTCGTAAGTCCTCTTGGAGTAAAATACACCAAATCAATCTCGTTTCCAGTTTCTTACTCAATGTGTTGTTGCGCTTTTAACTGCAGAGCCAAAGCACGTCTCCAAAGAGCCTATCAGAAGAGTTGGCATCTATGCAAAATGAAACAACACCAATTAGAGAGTTTGAAAAAAAAGAGGTGAATAACATCTTGCGAATCAATGTCCAATCGACAAAGCAAGTATACACCTTCAGTATCCCTGTCTCCAAAATGCTGCAACGTGAACGCGAGATGAGAGTAGCATCGAAGAAAGCTAGAGTTCCGGAAGCACAATGGTCATGTTCTCGCTTGTATAGCTTATGGAAGGAAGCACGAAGCAAAGAAGATGAAGACATTGCTTCTCGTAGACCCTCGAGTCAAATTACTGTGGATCTAGAGCCAGAAAAATCAATGAGAGATTACTCAAAGTTCGTGTGGGAACCATGGCTGACTACATGTCTAAAAGGTTTCTACGAAACTGGGTCCATTGAAATTCCTGAGAGATGCCAAGGCCCCGATCTCCTGATAACCCTTGAATATTTGCGCATCATCACTGTTTCCCCAAATGTCTTCATTTTTTCCTCAAAGGAACCTTACGATCGTATCCGTTCTTGGAGCGCATACTTCACGAAACGGCGGACAATTCTGGATTGGTTGATCAAGGATTATACTAACAACGGAGTTGCGATCAGAACGTATACAACAAGCACCGACTCAAAGGAAGGGAGTCATGTTTTGCTTCAAGTGAAGGGTGGGGAAGTAGATATCTTGGGAAGGAACCGACATGACTCTCGACTCTTGTTCAAGGTTGTGTATTCTCTGTTTTGTGAGAATGATTCCGAGCAGATGCTGACAAAAGAAGTGCCGAAACGGATCAGACATGACTTTCGAGACCAGCTGTTGCGATTTCTGCCACCTAAAACCAGAGTTTCTTTTGAATTACATCGAGTGACTGTAACAAAGTCGGGGCTCAGCGTGAAAGAAGTGAGACCAGTTTTGCGGATCGAGGGTCCATTTGTAGACAAACCAAAGAATCGATCCCCGTTAGCTGAGCGGCCAAGTCATCAAACTGACATCAGTGATAGAGTGAGTACCGATGACAAAAACGATTCGGCGAAATACCAAAGTGACGCCGGGGCTAGATTGGGAATTGCTGCTACAGGGGAGTCAACGCGATATCGAACTGAAGATAATCCTAGAGCGATTGCTGCTAGGAAAGAAGCGACAAAATATCAGCGCAAGTCCAGTGCCAAAGTTGGCGTCGCTACCACGAAAGAATCCGTTGAAAAAGGCCAAAATACGAAGCTGCATACGATAGCCAAAAAACAAGTTTTTGAGGAGAAGAAGATTGAGAAGCCGGATATTCCACGCCCGCCATCGGGGCCTTCTCCTATGCCAGTAGTTCAGATGCAAAAGCAGGGCTCGATTACAAGTGGACTTTCTCAGTCGTTGTTGGATGAGTCAACAATGGGGACTATTTTGAAGCACCCACCATCGGATACAGCGAATCATTCTCCACAACGATCCAGGTTTGAGCAATCAAGATCGGCAACCGCCAACAGGCAGCAAGACAGTTCAGCGCACGGGGATCAGCGCCCCTCCAGGGCTTATGTGCGCAAGTATGAAGACTATGACGATGATACGAAAACATTCACAGATAGCACACTGAGTACCACAACCTATGAAAACAGACGACCAAAGCGACTTGAAGATTCCCCTTGTGACACCTTTGAGTCCTTTTTGTTTCACGTGTGCGATAGCGGTGTTACAGTTTGCGATCACATGCTTCCTGCTGGAGCATTGACCCACCCCTGTGATGATCGCATTGGAAGGGATAGTGATATTGATGAAATGAATGGCAATACTGCTATTGTCACCTATTTGCCAGATGAAAGCGGCAACGAGTACTCAGATCATCAAAACATGAATGGGGAGTCGGCTGAAAATGAGGGAGTTATTGCAGCGTTGTCACAAGACTTGACGAAAATGGAAAACGTGATGCATGCGGCAAAGGTTTTTGGTGACACTATTTCTCAACAAATGGATGACTTGGCATATCGGGTACTGGATCCCGAAAACGCAGAAGTTCAAATTTCCAAGAGGGGTTGAAATCATCGAAGTTATAATATAATAACAGGTGCTTGTGCATTTTTGGAATCGGTACCTGCACAGTGGAATACCGGTAGAATTTTATTATTATATCGGTACAGTAGGTTGGCATTGTCAATGCTGTACTGTAGTTCGCACAAAATCGTTGATTCTTCTTGCATTCTTCGAAGAGTGCGTCATCTCTGTTTTCCTGACTCAGCACCCTAACTTGAACTTCTAATTAATCGTCAGTACCATCAAGAAAGACGATCTAGGGACAACGTCATTTTGTTGTGATCAAATTCGAAAGTTTTATATAATGAGTAGAAAAGGGCCTTTAAGTAACAATTCTTACATCATCCAAAACCTGGCACCTACGTACTTCGACCTCAACTACCAGAACCCAGCCAGGAAATGAGTGTCACAAATTTTAATGAAATAGAAATTGGACAAAAAAACAAGAAGCAAGAAACCAAAATCGCATCTTTGTTAAAAATGGTGTCACTATTAAGCCATAGACTGCTAGGAGGACCTGGTGATTCGAATAGTGCAAGTACCAAGGGAAGCAGCATTATCCAGAAAGAGCAGAACGTCTCGTCTGTGCCAACTAAACTTGGAAGTAGCAGTAACAGCGGCTATTCAGCGGACAGAGAAGGTCATCATTCGCCACCTCCCGTGCTGTCGATCGATTTTAATGGGAGAACCAAGAGGAAGCATGATAGCGATAGCAGGTGTCCGAAGCGGCTGAAGCAGAACGAGATGCAATACGCAGCTTCCACCATATCTGCCGATCTCAAAAGGGCAGGAAAGGAGGTCGAACGCTTCGACAAAGAAATAAAGAAAACATCCCGCGTCAAAGGGGCCACGATAAGGTTGGATAGAGTAAAATTGTTGATGTCTGGAGAAGCTGAAGATGTGAGTCTCGAGTCAAATGTCAGTGCGACTGCCTCGCTCTTGGACTACGAAATGTTAGTGAAAGCATGTTTTGATGTCTACCCAAGTTCGTTTCCTTGTTTCCCTGCTACCCAAGAGAAATCTGATCGAAGTACATCATCCGTGAGTGATACGGAAAGTGACTCTGTATCAAGCAACTCTGGCAATCAGTCTCTGGTAATTCCTCCACTGCTGGAGGATTCACTGAGAGCAGCAAAGCAGGGGCCAACAATGGCAAATATAAGCTTGCGATCATGCAACGTAATTTCCTGTCCGTCAAATGCAGTGACCATGACTGAAATGTTACAGCTCAGCAAAACTCCGAGGTAAGGCACTCATGACCGAGCACACATAGCTACATTACACGAAAATGCTCACGACAATAATTCACACTTCTTGCTATAGACTGGTCACGTTATCATCGGCTCCTTTCACTGTTATCCATGCCAATGGATCTCTGACTCATTTTCTTGGTTTTGGAGCCGACAGCGTAGTAGGCAAAACATTTTCAGGTACGCTGGCGTCAGGCAGCACCGTCAATCTTTCTGAGTGCATGGTCTCCTCTAGCACTGGAAATCACAAAATGATAAACTTCAAAGAAGAAAAGACTGGGAAATTGATCGAGAGTCGCGTCAAGGTTTCTCCCATTGTCGCACAACGGTCCAGCAATAGAGAGGTTGCAACTGTGACTCACTTTGCTATTGAACTCATTGGCGATGGTGGATCCAGGGGTCCATCACCAACTACCACAGCTGGAAACAAGCTGTCACAAAATCATCCAGTTGGCATTGTCGGTTGAGCCATCGCAGATTTTGCCACGGTATGCAAAAACGGTGCTCTGTGCAATCTTATGATTAGTCGATTGTATTACAGCACTTGTCGTCGTCACAAAGTTAATTCTAATGAACCCGAGATTAGAAACCAAATAGACATATCCCACATTATCATTAGGAACTTGACATCTGCCGTTGCTATCCAGATCGTCTCTCTGGCAACAGCGATGTGCAAAACTATTCAAAAGCTTGAAAGGAGTTTACAAGGTACATGTCGCATTTTGAACACAAATAATTGACCAACACCTAATATTACTGACTGTACAAGTAGCTTTTCTTTTCCGCGCATTCCCTGCGCTTTAGGCATTAAAAATTTCTGCCACTCCGGGCACAACGATTCTGGCAATATCATACAATCGACGCAATGACTTCTTGCTGTCTTCGTCGCCCGCCAATGCGGCCCTGTAATACCAAAGGCATGCTTCTTCGTCACTTTGCGGAACCCCCCTTGCTTCTTCAAAGGCTTCCCCAACAGAATACTTGCTCGTAATATGACCAAGATTGGCAGCTTTAGTGTACCAATCAAGAGCAATCTCGTCGTTTTGTTCCAATCCGCATCCAAGCTCATAGCACAATGCGAGTTCTGACATTGCTTCGACGTGGTTCTGTTCGGCTGCCTTTTGAAACCATTCTGCTGCAGCAACAACATCAACATGTACTCGATGGTGTCCATATTCATGGATAAGGGCAGTCTCGTAGGCCGCATCAACGTCATTTCCCAATTCGAATGCTGCCTTGAGCCATGCCAGTCCAAGCTTGGTTTCTTTCTCGACGCCATTTCCTTCAAAGTAACAATTAGCAATGGCTCTTAGCGCGGGAGCAAAGCAGACAGCATCGTTGTCGGCTACTTCTGGCTCAAATTCGTCGGATATGTTGACGTTGGTCAACTCTCTCATCACTGCGATTGCACGTTTGGGGTTCCTTTCCAAGCCGCAAGTTCCGTTTAGTAGCGCCTGGGAAAGCTCCCACTTCATATCGGTCGATTGACCTGCAGCATCGTCCAAAATGCTCGACCAAGACTTTTGGACCTGAGCTAGTTTGGCGAGGTCACCCCAGTCGGCAAATCGAGTGAGGCATAGCGAAAGAATTTCAGCCGGAAGGTCGGAAGTTGTACAGTCACGCTTTCCTTCTGTTGTCTTTGGAGCCTTGACATTATCAAAGTAGAGGGGCGGAAGGACGGGTTGGTGGGATGTAGTAGTGGTCATTGTGGATCAAGCCGTAGTCACGAGAGTATAGTAATCGTAAACAACGACCGAAAGAAGAAATGAGAGACTTTTCCTCTTTGAAAAACATCAAATGTTCGCATGACTGGCCAACAAAAGCGAAGTTGTACTCGTGGAAAAACTGCGCACGTCGACGTGGTGCAGACCACGCCACGTGAAAATTTGAAAATTTCGAAATTGCGTCATTGTATGACTGACTGACTGACTGACTCGTTCGATCAAAAAAGTGACTGAATGGGAATAGTGACTAACATAGGCCTACAGTACTGTAGTCTGTACTGTAGTATCGATAATTTGAAATTCATATTTTATAAAATGTTCCTAAATCGCTGTTGGTGACGAGTTTCAAAGTTCAGCAATGCAATCAATCTCAACCAAAGCTCCCTTTGGAAGAGCAGCTGCTTGTACACATGATCGAGACGGTGCAACAGCGTTGTCCTTGAAGAATTCGGAATAGATGTCATTAACCTTGCTGAAATCGTTAAGGTCGCTTAGAAACACGGTACCTTGAGGTCATTGAGAAACACGATATCTGTGCATAAAGAGCAGAAACATGGTACAGAAAACTTACAACGCACGACGTTGCTAGCCGAGGCCCCTGATGCTTTGAGAATAGCACCCATGTTCTTCAGGCATTGCCGAGCTTCTTCCTGGACATCCCCTCCTCCCACAAATTCTCCAGTAACAGGATCAAGCGCGATGGAACCAGAGCAGTAAAGAGTGCTTCCGGCCAAGACAGCTTGCGAATAGGGCCCAACAGGAGCTGGAGCGTCTTTAGTTTGGATTTCCTTGATTTCCTTGGCCATGCTGATATTTGTTGATTGAAAAATAGATCGACTTGGTGCAGTAGTGATAAAAGAAGTAGTAAAAGATTGGACAGGTACAAGGAAAAGGAGGAAGACGATCAAGTCCTTCATGCTTCACTTGTTTGATGTGTGATGAGACATGGGACATGGATATTTTCGTGATGAGTGCTGATGCGAGCGCAAATGCGCGCGAAAATACTGATTGATCCCTTCTTTTTTCATTCAAGAGGTCATTGGGTTACTCTTGGACTGGTACCAAACTGCGCAACTTGGATTGAATAACAAAAGAAGTAATCCATTCTTGCAAACTGCATTATTATTTTAATGTAACTAGCTTCATCAGCTTTATTGGTTTCTCTATCACTTGTTTCTTCACATAAATCACATGTATTTACACCGCAATACCACAGATGGTACACAGAATTTCGCATTGCACTCGTATCGTAAGGACTTGACTCTTTTCCTCATGAAAGGATTGAAACACTGAATGGACACTACCTTTTATCCACATGTATCACATATATTTTCATTTTCACATTTTCTTGTTCAGACTTGACTGACTCCTTTCCTCATGAAAGGATTGAAACACCGTGTGGACAATGCCTGACACCCACATGAATCACATGTATTTCATTTTCACATTTTCTTTTTCTTTTGTCTGATCTCTTTCACCACTCTTTTTTTAAGGTTTCTTGTTTATACTTCTGTAATATCGTTCCCGTATCTGTAGTGGTAGAAACTTGAAGACGGGACAACCTTGGTTTCGCTTTGCTGTACATCTCGTAGCAGGTAACTGCTTTCGCAACGACGAAGGAACTCACGTTCGTTGTCAAGCTGATAGGCAAACCGAGCTTCTGAGTCGGTCTCCTCCTCATGAGTGCTGTCATTTGTGCAATCCATAACGGTCCGCTCTAGATACTCATACTCATCCAAGGCAATGTTGGCGAGATTGTGAAACTGCGAAGCTGGCCGTGTTGCCGCCCCGTGGTGCTTTCGAGGATAAAAGGCGCATTTTTGGAAGCAATTGTCAGCGGCAGAAGGAGAAGCCGCTGCTGTGGCAACAACGCCTCCCGATAGCGTTTGCCATGCGGACAGTGCAATGAATGATGCTGATAATCTATTTATCCCCACCATGACTTATAAGATGATGCAGCCGAAAGAATTGCTGGTTCCAGATATAATTTATCGGAAATTATGATAGCTGAGCTGTTATTAATGTTATGAGGACGAGGATGGTTTGAAGCCAGCAGAGAAAGGCCACGGCGCTTTTTGGATGAGTTTCGTTCTCATTTCGTTCGGAAAGAGGAAAAAGGTGAGCTTTTTTCTGATTGGTTGAAAGACTGAGTCAGTTAGTCACACTACTGCATGATAGCATTGGAACTCACACGCCCAAACGTACCGGTATGAGGCCGATTCTACCCGAACCCGTTTTCACGACTTTCCGACCCGCCGGGACGGCGGGAAAATCAATATTTACTCTGAAGAATTGTATGCAAATTTCTATTTCCCGGCCGTCCCCGAATGAACTGAAAACAGAAGTTTTGGTTTGGGAGGCGAGATGGTGGACTCATCTGACCCAAAATGAAATTGAATAACACCACAGTCCGCACGTCAGAAGCAAACTGTCAAAAGACCCCAAGAAATCTTTGCCAACAGCTCAGATACCCACAGTAGTACTACTCGTACTTGTACCTATGTACTTCCACACAACATCACAAGGATGGACACAATATTGAATTTCACTCTGCGGATACTTGCTTCCTTTTTGCTCTTTCCAATTACAAGTAATGGATTCGTGCCATATACGATTGCAGTGACAAAGGATTATTCATTTAGAGAGCAATCACAGGTCCACGCACAAACAAAGAAAACGAGAAGACGATCAATACTGGCGGCTTCGACAGAAACTCAAGAAGAAGTTGCAACTGAATTTAGGAATTCGGGAATATCAGAGAAACGCATTGTTACAATAGAGCGATCTTTGGATTTACCCTTTTCAGCTGAGATTGCTTACGACGCCTACTCTAATCTTCCTAGACAGCCCTCTTGGTCGTCATGGTTACACAAGGTGGAATACACAGATGCCTCAAACAAAGAGTCTCTTTGGACTCTCAAGTTTCTAGGATTTAAATATTCCTGGTCGGCAATCTCGTTGAAGAATGAACGACCGACTACACTACAATGGAAGTCCACCTCGGGATTGGCAAACTTTGGAACTGTGGTGTTTACATCTATGGACGATCAGACAACGGCAATGTCGCTTACCATGACTTTGGTGGCTCCACGGACAGTAGCTTCCCTGTTTCGAAAATCGAAACGGTTGCAAGAATACATAGGGGAAAAAATGGTTGCAACTTCGTTGGACTCGTTTCGAGATATTGTTCTGAACGAGGACGCAGTAGTCAGCGCTACTAATGAGACTGCTAGATCATAGCCCGAAAGTGTATCCTTCATTCTTCGTTTGCATCAACTTCTATGTGCAATGATCCAGGGTGCCTTTATTCCCAGTAATGAGGAGCGAGTTCCCTCAACCACCTAGGATCAATAGATGAGACAGAATTCAACTCGATGCCTCCTCTTGCTCCGTCATGAGTTTCGCAAAAGACAATGTACTCCGAATATCCCCCATGCGATCGAAAAATACTGGAATGACCTGGAGTCACCAAGATCTTTCGATCCCGGCGAATTGTGTAGTATCTTCCATCATTGTTCATCTTGGCAACGTTGAAGAAAAATCCGGCAGTCACACATTTTCGTATTGCAATGCTTCTCGCCTGGACTTCGGCCATTCCCAACGACCTCACACGTCCAAACTTTCTCAGAAAGCGCATCAATTGGTTACGGATTTCCACGGATCGTTTCAACGCCATGAAATTCAGATAGCGTTCCGTGCAATCTTCGCGGTCAAAGCCGTAGTCGTCATGTTCCGATAGCACATTGGCCAAAGTCACGTGATCCCCACTCGAGTCAACGACCTCTGAGATTGCAGCTTCAAAGTCCAGTTGTTGCTGTTGGCGTCGAGCAGAGCCACCACGCGGTGTCACGAAGATAGACTGTACCTGGAGGGTACTTGCGACACCTGCAACCTCTCTAGCACAGCCCTCGTTCAGGGATTCCAACAACATTCGCGACACTCTGGGCTCGGTCGGGAAAGATGACATATCCAAACCTAATTTGGTCAACTGGGTATCCTCATCGATGGCTCCTAATGCGAACAGAGTCTCCAATGCATGCGCTAGCGTCTCGATACTCGGGAGATCCATAAGATCAAAGGTGAGAACGTTTTCTACCCCCAATGCTTTCAGGGAAAGCACAAAGCTAGTCAAATTTGTTCGGAGCATTTCTGGTTGGGTTGTCTTTTCCATCTTATTGGCATAGAAATCTTCGGTGTACAGGCGATAGCAAAATCCAGCTTGCAGACGCCCACCTCTTCCAGCTCGTTGTTGAGCACTTGCTTTGCTTATGGGTACTACGACTAGCCGATCAAAGTTTGTCCTTGGATCAAAATATGGCAACTTGACAAGGCCACTGTCAACCACATGTGTGATTCGGGGCACAGTTACAGATGTTTCTGCTATGTTTGTAGCGAGAATGATTCGTTTCGTATTGGTGGAACTTGGTGCCTGGAAGATTTGCGCCTGCAACTTGTATGGAAGACTCGCATACAAAGGCATCAGAGTGACTCGTTTGTGCATGGAGGGATCGTGGTTGTCCATGTAATCTTCTCCCAGTTTGATAGCTTGATCAATATCTTCAGCCGATGGAAGGAAGCATAAGACATCTCCCGTTTTGGCACCCTCGCTTATCCTCAATGCTGTCTCGATGCAACTCCGGATGTAATTATTAGATGGCGTCTGCAAGTACATCACGTCTACGGAAAACTGTCTCCCATCCACCGAAATGATTGTTCCTGTTGTCTTCTCAACGTCAACGACTTCATTGGAAGCAGTCGGATTGTCCCATCGTCGCTTCCGTTTCTTGGTTGCGACGGTCTTGCCCACAAAATAATCGAGGAACTTTTCCGCATTGATTGTTGCACTACAGATGATGATCCGTATATCCTTGCGTTTTCGCAGAATCTTCTTGAGTAGACCCAAGACTGTATCAGAATTTATGTTCCTCTCATGAGCTTCGTCCACCATTATTACAGAGTATCTCGACAGCATGGGGTCGTAAAGAGTTGCTTCCCGCAACAGCATGCCATCAGTGAGGAACTTAATCTTTGTATTTTCGGACGTTTTGTCATCAAATCGAACAGAATATCCTACAGTCGTACCGACTGGGCCTTTGCCAATCTCATGCGAAACTCGTTGTGCCAGTGTTTGTGCAGCAATTCGCCGAGGCTGGGTACAAGCTACCTGGAAATCATTTTCACACCATCCATTATCGAAAAGATACTGTGGGACTTGAGTGGATTTTCCAGTCGATGTCTCCCCTACGATGACAGTAACCCGATGATGTTCTAGTGCATAAAGGATTTGTCTTTTGTGTTTGTAAATGGGAAGAAGGAGTCTCTGCTGAGCCAATGGCGCATTGCTAAAGTTGAAAGGAATGGATCCAACTTCTCTGTCCCTTGAAGATTCCTTATCCAGAAGCTTTGACGATTCAGGCTTCCAGAATCCCGACATCTCATGTCGTTTGCTTCGATCTCGAAGTGATTGATTTGTTTGTCGATTTTCGATTTCCTCGGGTGACGTACTGACCAGCAAGAAAATCGGTGAATAAGCTCTTATCCTACCGGTACTGGTACCAACCGTGCCAGGTACTACCGGTAGTGTACTACTCTAAAAGATGAAAGCGTGGTCTTAAACTAAACGCTTAAATACTAGTGTGTCGGGTTGAGGATGAGTGAGTGCTATCGTTCGAAAATTCCAAATCTGACATTGGTCTAATGGATTTCAGGTGAGCGCGTGATCGTCTGCTTGATGGGAGAATCTGGCGACAGACTGTCACGATATATCTCTATACCGGTACATAGAGATAGGTCCACGGTCTTGGCCTATTCCCACCGTCAAGAATCTTCAAAATTTGATCGGAAATGGAAGCCATGTCCGAAGGTGAGTAGCGGTGGATGAACGGCCAGCAGTTGGACTGTCATTTGTTAGCATGCAAGAGGCGGTATTCATTTTTCTTCACAGTTCAGGTGCCATTACTGATCAATGGAAAAGCCAAACAAACACGCGGCTTCGTCCAAGGAAGGCAGTGCTTCATGGTGCGAAGAGCTCTCGCAAACATTGCGCCAGAGCCTGATGTTCTTGTTGCTGTATTTGGACCTTGGTGAACTTTCCACAACAGCATATTCTTCTCGCTTTCTCTTGAGTGGATTTCTTGACTTATGCTTGGGGGGATTTTTGGTTTGGCGCACTTGGATAGTCTTGATGGCTGACAAAACGTCACTTAATGTTCCATCTTCGCTGCCCTCAGTGCTTGAAGTCGAGGCATCGCTCACAATGCCAACAAAGGAGGAGGCAGAAGATGGAACTTGTGCTTCAGGGGGTGGCAATGTTTGTGCTTCAAGTTGGAGGTCGGTAATGGAGTTGCTGGAAGAGACATGGTGGAGATTCGATGTCTTATTGGTGGTAGGAGCATTTTTAGCATTGGTTACAGGATTTCCTGCTTTTCCTCCGTCTCGCTTCTGTCGCTGCAATGCCTCCATGCGAGGCTTCCAGTATCTGATTCGGTTGTTGACAAACCAGTTGTTAAGTCGTTTTAGTTCAATTCCAGTGTCAGCAACCATTTGCGCCTTTTCTTGTTCTGTTGGGTAAGGGTGGTTGATGTGTTCAGGACTCATTAACCAAGCCTTCAAGTAGTCGACGACACTAGAAGGCAAACTGTTTGATCTTCCGCGTCCTTGAGACTTGGTAGGTTCAGGTCTTGGTTCAATTGTCATCTTGGAAGTGTTGGAAGCACAAAATGAGAATGCTTTAGATGATGGGTGTTGGACCAAATTCGTTCGTAAAAGTGAAAGAACGTTTGTAGGTTGATTTTTACGGCCATTAGCGTACTGGACCTGGTATCAAACACATCAACATCAAACGAACCCATGCAATTTTTCCTACATACTTTGAACTATGACGTCGACTTCATGATTGCATTCTTTCGCGTTTTTCATTGGAAGAAGACACGCCTCACATAATAGACGATCAGAAAGAGATTTTTTAATAAGTGACATGGCGTAGTCAGACACGCCTCGCCCTATCAACAGTAACCACGCAGTACACTGACAGCTGTTAAGTTCCGCGAATGGGTACATGCTTTTGATAAGACGTGTGAGACGTGTCCGCGAAATCTTAGTACTTCAAAAACGTTTTTTGCAAAGTACGTCACAGTTTTATTCATTTCATCCTCAACGTAATCGGGGGAGACCCTTATTTACAATTTGGTCAAATCAGTCGATTCACTTGTAATAATATTATGCATCGCATGCCATGCCCCTCCTCTACACCATACTGTAGAGTGAAATTTCTTTATTTTTCTTTATGTTATGTTTCGCTTGTATATAATAGCCTTTCCTACTTGTACAGAGAGTCATTCGGACTCACGCAGTTCTGGTGGATTTGCCCTTGGTTGAGTGGTATGAACCATCATCCCGTCATCTCGAGTAGTGAGTATCGAAGTGTTTACTTGAGGACCATCCCGTGTTTGATCGCAGCGTCCCAAGTTTGGTCTATACGTGTATGATCAATTGCCCCCACTTCATGGAAGTCCCAGCCCTCGAGCGCATGCACCACTGCACCCGCATGGCAGGCATGGACACAACCTCGCTCCATGGTCATTTCGCATGTCTTAAAGTATTTTGTGTCTCCTGGCAATGCAAAAGCAGGAAGATCAGTGTAAACACAGTCTGATCTGAACTCTTGAAGAGGTGGGACAACGAATTGATGGAAGGTCGTGCCAGATGGCGCAATCGCTTGATCCTTTTCGCTGCAAAACTTTCCAACGATCCAGTCCTTGCAGTTGGCTCCGGCTTCGATCTTCGTTGCATGCACAATGAGCTTCTGTGCCTTCGAAGATGCTTCGTCATGAATCTTTTGAAACCTTTCTGTGCTCCCTGTGAGCATGGTAACCTTAACTCCACGTTCAGCCAAGTAGAGGGAGATTGCGCGACCAAGCTTGGACGTGGCTCCTGTTACAAAGACTTCCTTAACATTGGATGGAATCTTCTTCAACACAGCAGCGGCTGTCAAAGTGTTTCCATGAACAACGCGAGTCTTCAAGTTCGGATGCTTGTCGACAAAGAGTTTGCCGCCACCATTGAGAGCTTCGTTCTTGTTTAGGGCACCCAATCCAAGCACCTTCACACCAGCAGCATCAGCTTCAAGGATTGCTTCCTCTATCTTGCTGTTGATAAAGTTCCATTGACTCTTAAAAAAGAATTGAATCGCCCATGCTGGAGTCACCCAAGTCTCCATCTTCAAGTGACGAAGGCGATGCTTATCTGACACAAAGACCTTTCCAAAGACTCTCATGACGAACATGACCACGACGCAGAGTGGCCAGAAAGGCGCCAACCACCATTTCGGTTCAAAAGGTCTTGAAGAGAAAGACCTGAACACGAACGGAAGGTGGAACAAACTAACAAGATTAGTGCCATGCCCGACAAAGACCACGTCGGGTGTGGTCTTTGGTGCAGCCTGGCCAGTGATTGCCTTTTCGTATAGAGTATCAGTTGTCTTATGGACTGTTCCGAACATGTGGTCGTAGATTGGCATAAATAGACAGAAGTTTGTGTGCACACGGCTATGGTGCAAAGAATGGTAGGTTGGGGTGTAAATCAAGTACTTCATTCCCGGGATACTCATCAACCACCGAGGGACAAATTCAAAATTACAGTGGCCGATGGCGTTCATGACGTCAAAGCCAAGCAGGTAAGCGTAGAACATTGACACCGAAGCTCCACCCTGGAAGAATGGGCCGAGGAGTGGAATAGCAAAATTGGCAGTGTACATAAGATGCTCCATGAAAGGGTGAACAGACCCAGTGATGGGTTCGGTGACAAAACTGGCGTGATGGTGGGAATGGTAGCGGCTGTAAAGGAACTTGTGGTGAAGCGCACGATGGAGCCAGTAGTATACGAATTCAGTTGGTCCAACGTGCCACCAAAGCACTTGCCACAATCCAGCATTGTTGTAGATCGGAAAGCCTCCGTATCCGAGGTATGGTAGATGGTGTACTGCTGTCATCACGTACGCTTGTAGAATAATATAGTCGTCCCAATTGTCCTCTCGATCGATTTGCTCGTAATTTATTCCTTTGTCCTGAATCTTTGTGCGTTCAGTTATGTTATGAATTCTGGAGATACTGGTGAAGACTTGGGCAACAATGTACCGAAGCGCCGCGATGGTGCAAATGTGCGCCGACCAGTTGTCAGCATCGTCGTTTCCGGAAAGGACGGTTGCTGCAAAGGGCACAAATAACAAATACTTGTAATTTCCCATGTCTTCCCAAGGGAATTTGTACAACACTCCTGGATTCGTCGCCATGGTCTTCACTTTTGATTTTTTTAGAGTCTTGGGCGAAGTTGTCCGTATGCGTTGGTGCGTTTTCTTTTCCTGATGAGTTGGAATTACCATATGGATCCGGGTGGGATGATGGAGACAGTTGTGACGTGTTTTTTTATTTCATTTCTGCCTCTGTGTGGTGTCCTGCACTGCGTCCGTGTTCTTTTATTTATTCGGGACTGCATTTTGCCATTGAATCATCAACAATCCAGATATTCAATATCCAAAATCCAAACTGAGAGGCGGTCTCATTCCATCCATCACCTTCATTTGTTTCCTGCAGAGACATCCGTGGACTTTGTTCAAGATATTTGCGCGCATTCAAAAGATCGTTTCGGTGATGATGAATAATGTAAGACTTCTTTGTTTGACACAGTTCCAATTTTGGATTCTGCAAAAAGGAAGAACCAATCTCTCATTCAACCAAACCACCATTGATATCACAAGAAACTCCTCTTGTTAATACTGTTTTCAACAACTGCGAATGCACTCTCTTTCAACGAAGTCTCGCGTAGGAGTTTCGCGCAGTCACTGTCTCGCACGTGTGGAGTGATTGCAGGCATGGTCGTTCCAACACAGTTGATTTCTCAAGGAGCAGGAGCTAGTATTGCTTCCGATGTTCGGCCTTTCTGTGTTGTTGGAGCCAACGGAAAAACGGGTACCAAGTGCGTTCAAGAATTGATAGGGATGGGGATTCCTGTCCGGGCAACTTCGCGCTCGGGAGTATACAACGAAGGAATTGACAGTAATCCTCTGTTGAGCCCCATGGTGTGCGATGTCACCAAGTTAGATACCATTCAAAGCTCGATTGAAGGTACTCGGGCTGTCATTTTTGCAGCATCGGCATCGAAGGGAGGTGGGACACCAGCTCAAGTCGACAATGATGGACTTGTAAATGTCGCAAAAGCCTGTATAGCGGCCAAAATTCCTCATTTGGTGGTTGTCAGTTCTGGGAGTGTCACCAAACCAGAATCGCCTGTCTTCAAATTCCTTAACCTCTTTGGGAAGATTATGGAGGAAAAGATCAAGGGTGAAGACGAAGTAAGACGCCTATATAGCACTGTCGAAGGCGCAACGTATACCATTATCCGGCCAGGAGGGCTGACAGAAGATCCAGGACGGGGTGCCAGTGCTTTGGAGTTGAACCAAGGTGATGCAAAGAGTGGCAGAATCAGCCGTTTCGATGTTGCCGCCCTTTGTATCGAGGCTACCTACTATCCTCAACTGACCGGGAGGACAACGTTCGAATGCTACGATGCCGACACTGGCAAAAGTCTGAATAGTGTAGGAGCAAGCAACATTCTGAAGCAAAAAAGTGATCCCGGCGATTTCCGAACTGGATATGAAAGGAATGGAGAGACTTTTGAAAAACTCTTTACTGGTCTATCGAAAGACTAAAGTCTAATAATTCTCTATTACTAATGGCGGCTGCTGATATCGATACATACAATCAGCAATATTGGTAGCTAGGGCGAAAGAGCAGCTTCCCATTTATAAGTTGTTGTTTCCCATTTATAAGTTGTAGTCCATATTGAGAACTTCATAGTACGTGGATGTCACATGATCCATAAACATTCTTCCTCCATCGAGCTCAAGATATCTGAACACGGCTGCAGTACCATCGGTTTCCACGCATTCCCATGAAATTCCGTCCTCCTCTTTATCCTCTTCCTTCAAGGCTTGGTTCCCCCAAGGGTTGAAAGACAAATAGACCGTCCCTGGAACAAAGAGATGACCAGGTAATCGCATATCAATCTTTTGCTGTGCATTCTGAATGAACTCCTTCATTTGTACTTCGCTAAGTAAGGGCTCCCCTGAGGACCCTTGAGACAACTTTCTGAAGAACGCAGCAGTGGATCGCGCGGATGTTGGGTTCATGTCCTCTTCGACCAAACGTTCGTGCACCCTCAGAAGGCACTCCAAGAATACTGCAAGATTATACATACTACATCTTGGAATCAGATCAGAGTTGTGGACGAAAGAAGTACAAAATGCTTTTGCCGCCAGAGCTGAGTCGTGGTCTACAACTGGCGGCGGTGCAAACGCATAGACCTCCAATTGAACATTATCTTCTTCAGCTAGTTGCGGATATCGAGACCGCAACAAGAAAGCAGCAACAGTGGCAGCTCCAGCTCCAAGACTGTGACCGCAGAGAATTAGGTGCCACCCGGCATCAATCACCCAATTCTTTATGTGTTCGTCAATTTCATCCAACAATCGCCTCGACGCGATGAGTATGCCTTCGTGACACCTAATATTCTTGTCGCTACAGCCATCGTCGCTTTCGATGATGCCACCTAGATCCGTTATTTCAATCCCCATATCTCCCATACAGTCATCTTCCCCGTCTTGTTTATTCAATGGAACAGCACTCCCACAACAGTCAGTGAGGATATCTTCCAATGACGACGTGCCTCTTACACCAAGGATAAGCGTGTTATCCATCGGCGACAGCGCAAGATAATATGATACATTTCCAGGTCGCAACGACAAATTGTGTGTCAACAATTCGTATCCGCGTTTTTGTAACTTTACTTTCAAGACTTCGGTGTCCTTGAAGTAGGCCCATGTGGCATATTTCAAGGCTTCTCGATATTCGGTAATCCACAGCGACTCAACCGGCTGCTTTTCACCTGCATTGCGGTATGCGTGATCTCGGGTCGGCTCTCTATCTTTGCTCTTGTTCTTCTCTAGATTTGATAGCTTCAGCTGACCGGTAAGCTGGATGTAAGCGAGCAGAGCTGCGTGAAGTTGTGGAACAACGACGTCAATTTCTTTTGACTTTCTCGCCAATTCGTCAAGCTTGTTCACAATGTCTCCAAGATGTGATAGATCCTCCTCAGAAACGTCATCCGACGTCCGTAACAAATGCTTGAACGATATATCTTCTTTTAACCATTCAGGACACGTTTTCCACAACCATTTTGCAACCATCGCTGAAAATGCTGCGGAGGCAAACGTTGTGGCATCGGCGTAAGCGGTCGCTTTTATTGCCAGATGTTTCGCTGCTACGACAGCACCAGGCATAGCGAAGGCACCTGCTGGGCCCGGCATTGCGTTTTGCTTCAAGTCAGACTGTTTCCCTTACTTTCTGTGAACGTTTGGCGATGATGTAATAAAAATGCAGGTTGTGTTTTAGTACTAAGATAGCGTTTGGATTACGACTTCATAAGCTCTTTCGATATAAATAACTACCTGTACCAATACTACTCACTACTGCATGCAAGGGTGCTATATGTACTCTTTTTGTTCTATATTGATTTGTCTGCATGTCTGTTTCGTTTACAGCTCCATGTCGTCCAAAGTGTTAGCCTCTTTCTCCTCATCAACGCGGTAGCGTAGTGTTCTCGCCTTCTTTGCCAGTGGGTAGTTGCAGTCATCAAGAGAATCTTCATCAGACTCGACTTCACTGCCTTCAATGTGGACAGTTGCGCCACTTCGTAGTTCTCCGCTGATAAGCATTCGACTGAGCTCTGTGACAACTGATGCTTCGAGGTAGCGCTCCACGGGACGAGCACCATAGTTTGGATCATAAGATGAGTCCAATATGGCCTTGGCGCCCGAACTTTCCAGGACAACTCTAATCCCCTTCTGTTCGAGGCGCCGCTTCACTGCGCCCATTGCCTTTTGAACGATAAGCTCCATATGTGTTGTACCGAGAGAGTTAAAAGTGATGATTGAGTTGAGTCGATTCAAAAATTCAGGAGGAAATGATGATCGCACTTGCTCCATGACCAAACCATGCGTGTTCTTTCGCTGCTCGGGGGATTGAGTTCTAGTCTGTAGAAGGAGCTCAGCCCCAATGTTTGATGTCAAGATAATGACAGTGTTGGTAAAGTCCACCGTGCGCCCTTTGCTATCTGTCAATCGTCCATCATCGAGCATCTGAAGCAACACTGTGAGAACCCTAGGGTGGGCCTTCTCAATCTCGTCAAAGAGTACTACAGTGTATGGTCTTCGTCGAACAGCCTCCGTCAATTGACCTCCCTCGTCATGACCGACATAGCCTGGAGGTGCGCCAATCAACCTCGCAACTGAATGTTGTTCTTGGTATTCAGACATGTCAATCCGAGTCAAGTGCCTTTCATCCCCATCGTACAGCTCGCTGAAGAGAGCCTTAGAAAGCTCCGTTTTCCCCACGCCAGTTGGCCCCAGGAAAAGGAATGTTCCCTGTGGACTATCGCCTCTCGAAAGTCCCGCTTTGGATCTCAGGATAGCTGATACTATTTGCTTGACCGCGTCTTCCTGGCCAATCACCCGTTCCTGAAGTCTTTGCTCCAATTTGAGAATTCGATCACGTTCAGTTTGATTCAGTTTGGTAACCGGGATACCAGACCAACGACTGACGACTTCGGCAATATCCTCTGGACTGACTATTTCTTCGAACATATCACCGTCGTCGTCTGTGTTTCTGGCATGCTTTCGTTCCTCCTCCGCCTTTTCAATACGTTGTAAATGTGCCTTCAAGTCTGGAATAGCACCGTACTTCAAGTCTGCGGCTTTCTCATAGTTGCCAAGACGCTCTGCTTGAGTAGCTTTGGAATCTAAGCTTGCAAGTTTCGCCTTGATCTCCTTAAGTTCATCGGCACGGCCCCGATCGGCTTCCCATTTTGCATTCAATGGAGCAAGCTCCTCGCGAAGGTTTTCAATTTCCACTTGAATATCTTTGCCTCTTTTCTTGGACTGCTTATCCTTTTCCTTCTTCAATGCAGTTGCTTCGATTTCAAGCTGAAGGATTCTTCGCTCCAATTGATCAATGTTCTCGGGGCGGCTGTCCAAGGCTGTACGCTTTGTTGCAGCCGCCTCGTCAATCAAATCAATGCTCTTATCTGGATTGAAGCGATGGGTAATGTATTTGTCCGACAATTCAGCAGCAGTCACGAGTGAAGCATCACTAATTCGGACGCCGTGGTGGGCTTCATAGCGGTCGACAAGGCCTCTAAGCATCGAGACTGTGTTCGCTACAGATGGTTCATTGATGTTCACCTTCTGGAATCGACGTTCGAAAGCAGAATCTTTCTCGATATGCTTGCGGTATTCATCCACTGTTGTGGCACCCACCATACGAAGCTCGCCACGGGCCAGCATGGGCTTCAAAAGGTTTGCAGCGTCCATCGGTCCCTCGGTCTTTCCAGCTCCCAAAACAAGGTGAATCTCATCAACGAACAGGACCATTTTGCCGTTTGCCGATTTCACTTCATCCAAGACAGCACGGAGACGTTCTTCAAATTCTCCACGGTACTTAGCACCGGCAACGAGGGATCCCATATCAAGGGTGCGTAGTCTCACACCTTTGAGAGATTCAGGGACGTCACCATCTAGAATTCTTCTTGCAAGCCCCTCGACAACGGCGGTCTTTCCTGTGCCTGGCTCTCCGACAAGGCAAGGGTTGTTCTTTGTGCGGCGACTGAGGATTTGAACCAAACGACGAATTTCTTCGTCTCGGCCAACCACTGGGTCCAATCGACCTTCCTCTGCTTCCTTTACAAGGTCAATGCCGTATTTCTCCAGGGCTACCGTATTTTGCATAAAGATTAGGACCGATGTTATGGGGGTGGTACGTTCAAACTCAATCGTATGACTCACCTTCGTAGCTTTCTTCTGCACTCGCACTCGTAACCTTTCGTCCACCCCGTAGTTCTTCCACAGCAACGCGTGCAGTACGCTTGGGAAGTCCAGAGGCTGATAGAACTCCTTCAATTTCCTTCTCATCGTACAAACATAGCAATAGGTGGTCGAGTGCCACTAAGGCATCGCCATCGCCCTTTGCTTGTTTGGTAGCTCGCTGAATCAACTGAGAAAGCGATCCAGAAAGAGACGCTTGTAGAGGCGCTGGTGTCTGACTGGGTTTCTTAAGAACAATTTTTTGCAATTCTCGACGAATGCTATTGATTGCCACCTTATCGGCTCTAGCTGTGACACGAGAACCAATTGATTCGTCGCCCTGGAAGAGTGTCATTGCCAGATGGATGGGTTCCACCAGGGCATGCCCATTTTCTAGAGCAATGGTGATGCTTTGCTGCAAGGCTTTGGATGTAGCGTCCGTGAACTGTTGCGCCATTTTGAATGTAAATTTATGATCATTCTTGTCGTGTTGGATTGGGGTTTGATTGACATCATGACATGATTTTCGACCGAATTCTACAGTATTTTCTGGTCAAAACCACGATTCGAACAGTATTTTATAAAATATATGTGCGAGTTTTTTTAAAAAGGCTCATATAATACATTATGCATGTTCAATTTTTATTGGGTTTTCAGCCAATGAAAGTTAGTCAAATCACTAAAATCAACTCATTTTTAGTGGTCCGAACCGATCACAGCGGCGGGCCATTCACTAAAAATAGACTATCTCTACTAAGTTAGTACCACTCGTAAATGATGAATAGGAGGACGGTACACACTGTAGATACGGCTTTACTGTAGCATTTTGCCTTTGTATTATAAAGCACTGTCGCACCTTGTCGTAATGCCTCACCTTACCACTGGATCACGGGCTAGCGATCCAGTTCCCCTATGATCACTTCTAGCTGCCCTGAAGCAGATTGATGCTGGCAGCCAGCCACAAGCAACAAACCGAATTGACAAGCACTACAGCATGAGGTCACCGATACATCCAATGGTAGAAACTTCTTTTTCGATCTTCTAGATATATTATAGATTAGTCTGTATCGTCTCAGCGTCACTCATACTAACATGCCCCAGTAAGAAACCGATCACCTTACGGTCAAGACCGGCCTTTTCCTGGATAACTACATAAGTTCACCCAGCCACTTTTTAACAAAAATCCCCCAAAAGGGTCGAGCCTAAAAATAAATTGAAAATAGCTTACCCCACTGCAAGACGGGGTATTTTTCCGAAATAGGTGACAGGGGGGCAGACGGGCCTATAGGACTCTCTCGTGCCTCCCGTCTGTGCCCGCTCGCTGGAAAGATGGACCGTTAAAATAGTGGGATGAAATCGTAACAAAATAGACCTCGCAAGAGGCAAGCAGGCCAACTATCCGGCACTAGCCAACGGATGGCTTATCGCCAGTCGAGTCCACGATTCAAGAGAGATTGACCACAACAGCTTCGGTGCTGAAACGTC